CCTGCTACATGGATACATCACTTGGGTGGGAAGAATGCATCAATTCATTCCTTTACTGGCCACAGACTGTGGCAAAAGTAGTTAAACAGGATTCCCAAAGCAGCTCAATAGGGACCCTGGGACCCTGATGCTGCTCATACAAGAAGATGAAGAAGCTGCAGAACAGGCACCCAAAAACTGAATGACCTCAGGTTTGTCCTTTGGAAGATGTGGAGCAGCCTGTGAGCAGCCAGCCCCAAGCACCACTTCAAGGCCTTGCACATCTCTTGCTGGTTTAATCCTCTGCATGGTTAAAATGGAATCAAAAATGAACTTGGCTCATATTTATTTACTTTAATCTGCTAATTGCAGATTGGACTAGTTTTCCCAGCTCTGGTTCACTCAGAAGTAAATCATGAAATACTGTGCACACTGAGCTACTGCTTATTTCAGGAAGGCTTTGGACACCTTTGCTGGGATTGCTGGAGGGAGAAGGTACCACACAGCTCAGGATGAGTGCCAGGACCCAGCCTGGGTCCCTGTCAGTAAATCAGCAGGGATTATCCCAGGTGACATCCCTTTAGCCTGTTGCACCCAGTACTGCAGTCATGGAACACACTGAGCCATGGACTGGCACACACTGGATCCAGAGCTAGAGCTGAGCTCTGCCAGGACTTGGGGCAGGATGCCCACCAGCCTGCAATCCAGAGGTCTGCTGGAAACCAGTCTGCTTCCCAGGACAAAGTGGAGCAGAGCAAGACTGTAAGCAGCTCTGGCTGCCACAGCCTGTGGCAGAGTCCTGCACCCAAGCAAGGTGTGTGCCCTAGCCCAGGATGGGTTTGCTCAACCCAAGGAGTGCAAGCAGTGGGTCCTGAACGCCACTGTGAAATTCTAGTTAGTGCTGCCAAGGCAAAGAGGAGAGAGCAGCTGTTGATGTTGGAGTGTGTGCTGTTAGTTCAGCAGTCTACTCTGTTAAATAATTCAGTTTTAACAGCTGCAGATACTGTGATTAATTGGAAAGGCTGGGCAGCTCAGGATGCTGCAGAAGCTGTTTGATCTTGGAGGCTGGGCCTGGAATGAAAGGAGGATTGCTCTAAGTGGGGACTAAAAGGTGATCACTCTATTTCTTATGTCACTACTACTTCTTCCTAAGAAACCATGAAGCCAAGTTCATTTCCAGAGCAGCTGCAGTGTGTCCACAAGCTCCTGTTTGTCCTGAGCTCTCCTGCTCTCACCATAACACAGCCTTGGCAGCCCTGAAGGCCATGAAGCTGGAAACTCCCAAGAACAAGGATCTTCCTGTCTCCTTCCTTGGAAGATGAGCTACTCTATCAACACCAGCAAGTTGGGAACTGCTGGGTTCACCTGAAGTAGCTCTGATGTGCATTCTCCATTTATGCCCAGGTGTCCTCACACTGCCAGGGCTGTTTCCCAAAGCAGCCACTAGCTGTCAGCAGCAGCTTTGCAGCCACCAAGGCACCGGGGCCAAAGATATTCCCCAAGAAACGTGTCCTAGCAAGACCATTTCCACTGCCAGCTGAACTGGGAATGGCTGATAGGGATATTTCCCCATGATAACCATCAGGTTGACAAGTGTTTGCCAGCATGCTCACCCTGTGGAAGTTTTTCAGTTTGGGAGGAGGACTGTCACGGAGTCTCTTCATTGCCTGGACTGGAGAATCACTGAAGTAGGGAGGTTCTCCATCCACCATCTCTATCACCATGATGCCCAGGGACCAGATATCCACCTGTGGGAGCCAATGTCACATCAATACACAGTTCAGAGCAGCAGGTCCTTGCTTTGTTGCCTTCACAAAGACTACACCAACCCAACCCATGACAAATGGTACACTGATGCCCTCAGGCTCCTTGCAACAGTTTAACAAACAGCTTTGCACCCAGGACTGAGCCTCACTGGTGTTGCAACAAGTAAAGGTCTGTAAGTAACTGCTTGTGCTAAGCCTGGTTGGTTTGTGAACAAAACTAATCAGCCTGCTGCCACCGGCCCAGAATTCCAGAGCTGCCATCTCTGCCTTCCCTGGGGTGAGCCCCTGGGAGCTCACATCCCCTCCCCTCCCTTTATGGCACTGATCCCTATCGTGTCACAGGCTGCTCCTTGCTCACATCTGTCCACACCACAGCAGGCACAAGCCTAGGCCAAGCTTCAAGTGTAAGAATAGACTAAGTTTACACCTCGTTCCTGGAAGCAGAACCATCTGTTTTTCTACTGATTTAGGAAATACTGATATCATCACAGCCACAGCTGGGTTTATATTTTAAATGGATTCTAGGGGCTCTTGCTGGAAAAGCCAATAGTTACTTTTCTGTATCACTTCAGAACACTATTTGCTTGACCCCCCCCCGGTATTAGGGAGGTGGTTCCTTACCTCGGTGGTGTATGGTATCCTTGCAATAACTTCTGGAGCCATCCAGTAGGGAGTACCCACCAGAGACTTCCTTTTAGGTACATCTTTACTGATCTGAGCACAGAAGCCAAAATCTGAGAGTTTGACCTGTACAAAGAAAAGAGCAAACCAACCTTAAAAATAAACCTTAAATAAGGTGGAGGGAAACACTGTACACAAAGGCAACAAAGGACAGTAAGAAGACAAGGTGCAAACAAGGTATTGGGAACAGAAATGAGAGACAAAAGCTGCAGCAGCAGCAGCAAGGAAACAATTTGTCTGAGGAAACATACCCTCCCATCCAGCGTCAGAAGAATGGAGTCACTCTTGATGTCTCTGTGAATGACCCCCTGAGAGTGGAGATATGTCAGAGCCTGCAGCACCGACTCACACACTGTGGCAATCTGCTCCTCGTTTAGCCTGGAATCAAAGGCAGAGGAGTCACCTGCACTGTCTGGGCCGTGGGCAGTGCTCATTCATGGGGGTACAGTGCAATTCTGAAGTCCAGCTGCAGATATTTTGAACTCTTACAACCATTACTCTCTCACCTTAACAATTCTCCAATGTCTGTTCCTGTGGAAAACATTTTTGACTTGATGGTTGGCAATTTTAAACTTTTTGTAAGTTTAATACGGAGAAACTGCATTTTAAACCCTGTACCTAAATTCATTCTGCAAGATGCTGCTTCAAGCAGTTCTGCCAGGCAGGACTGCTGCCTGGTGCCAAGGTGCTGCAGTGACTGGTGAGACAGCTCTTTTGTAAGCAAAGACAGTTCACAAGGCTTATTGTGCAACTTTATCCACAAAACATCCTAACATATCTTTTGATAGCAAATATAGGGATCCTTCAGGTGTTTCCTGCAGCCACACTTTGGGTACACTCACACCTACCTAAAGGTAGTACAGGGATTTTAGCACTCTGTTAGCACATGGAGTATGAGCACTAAGAATCTTATCTTTAGAAGCTCTTGCTGCATGGAATAGCGACACAAAAACCTTCATGATCAAATGAAAATGGTAGGAATGTGAATTCTCCCTGTACCTGGGGACAGTGACAGCTCTCTGCACTATAAAAAGAGATACACTTTCAGCCTGTCACGTATGGAATTTGGTTTCAGTCAAGTGACTACACAGTGTAAAACAGATTACTAGAGGATTACCTCACCCCTGGAGATGCAAATCACTTATCCCCCCTCAGCAAATGTTTAATGACTGGAGCAAGGGTATATTCCTCTCTGGGTAAAACTGATCAAGGCTTGCAGCTTACTTCTGATCAATGTTATGGTTATAACAGATCCTGTTTCCACCGTGTGGAAAAACAAGCATTCATTAACAGGTTCAAAGGAAGCTTCATACAACAAACCTAGGCTGAGGTCCCACCATGGAATTCAGTCTCACTGCTGGATGTAAACACATAGGCCCTTCATAAACCTCTTCAGCATTTTTATCTGTAGTGCAAATACCAGCCAAGAGCTACAAAGAGTTTCACTGGGGCTGCAATAGTAACTCAGCACTCCTCAGGATGAAACGTTGGTTCTCACCCCCAAGATGCCTCTGAGCTCAATACTGGAGGGCTGCCCAGCTGAGACTCCAGGACACCCCTTCGAGGTGGGGCTGTGGAGGCCACACAGGACAGTGTGGATTTTGAGGCCTCCCAGACACATCACAGATGTGCTTCCACAGGACAGAACCCAACAGAGCAAGACACATGCCTTAAATCCACCACAGAGCTAGTCCAAGCATGTAAGTGAGCTAAAGGTATACTATGATTTTTAAAAACTAAACACAATTCGTGTCAGCAATACTACCTAATTGTAATCCAAATACGATCCCAAGGCTTCAAAGAAAGGAAAGCTCATCCTACAGACTCTCTTGGTCAGTCTTTCCATTGACGTTCCCTGTACCAGTTTACAGCCTCACGGGACTGCTCAGAAGCAGAGAAAGGTGCTCCAGGGTCATGGGTAAGACACAATCATCATAACTGCATCACCAGGACACCTTGTGAGAGTGACTCCAAAGGCCATTTGAGAACAGCTTCTGTGCCCTACAGAAACCCTTTGGGCATTAATGAATATGAAGTGGTGTGGATAAGGAATCAAATTTAGGAGAGTGTCCAGTAGTTGCTATCTTTAGGCAATGAAATTTGGGAAGGAGTCCAGATCTCAAGGCTCTGCTGCACTTCTCCAGAGGAGTTAGTGAGGTTGAATTTGTGGCGAAGGTTGCACCACTAAAAACTATTTCTGTATGCTCTTTAATACCTATTCAATGAACTCCTTGGCCAGGTTTCAACAGATATAGTAAACAACTCTTTTTATGAGTATTACGTTTTACAGGGAAGGTCATCAAGGAGATGAATAGTGGGTATCTAAAGGGATCAGTATAGTAAATTAGGTGCCTTCTACATCAGAGGTGTTAGCACATATTTCAAATGGATAACAATTATAGAGTGCAGAAGTTTCAGGGCACTGAAAACACACAATTTCCGAGGGAAACTGTTCTTCCCATAAATCCCCCCTCTGCCATTCTTGGCTGTCAGGTAGGAACACAAGTATTGATGTTTTGAATTTTGCTTCGTACCTGATCTGAGACACAATGTCTGTGAGGGCTCCCCCCTGCAGGAACTCCATCAGCACCCAGAGCTCCTCTCCCACAAGGTAGCTCTTGTACATCTCCACCACGTTGACATGTTGATAGTCCCTCATTATCACCACCTGTAAAACCACAGTGCACAAATGACCACCACAAAATTACTCACAACACTTCATCTTACCCAACAAAGTGAGCACACACAGCCCTATGAGTACAACGCAGCAGCCTCCATCTCCCCAGCAATTCTTCTTCTAGGTACAAGCATAATTCTACTGCCAGGAAGATGTCTCCTGCTCTTCCTTCCTTTAGCCACGCTCAGTGCTCCCATGGTGGACAGCAGAACCCATCACCACACTCACCTCATTAAAGAGGAGCTCCCGGCGCTGCTGTTTCCTCAGATCCATCATTTTCACAGCCACCTGCCGCCCCGAGTGCTTCTCCCGAGCGATGCACACGATGCCTGTGGACCCTTCCCCAATCTTGACATAGTTCTCCAGCATTGCCCGGGGATCCCCCTGGTCCACGACCATCCTGAGGGCAGCCTTGAACTGCTCGTGGGTCACCACCACCGGGTCCTCGCTGGCCAGTGGCCCTTTCCCAGCAGAGTCCTGGGGAAGGTGGAGGTTGCTGGAACTCGTCTGGGTCTGCCGGTTCCTGGGGGACCCTGCTGGTGAAGGTCTGCCTGGTGGCACTGCCACTGCCTTCTCTGCTGTTGGGGATTTCTGGGGGGTCCCAGCTTCTGAAATCATCCTGGGGAAATCAGATGCAGGCTGGTCTGGTGGGAGAGACTGGGCTTTGGCTGCAGGGCTGTGGGGGGACCCCCACTGCTGGGGCCTGAAGAAAGCATTAGGCTTCAAGAAGAGCAAAGTGGGAGAGAGAAAAAGTGATGGTTGGATTAACAAACAGAAGAAAGTGTCAAGAATCAGTTTTGTGTCATCCCACTCTGCCCTAGCACATCTCGTAGCAGACTGGAGTCAAGAGCTCCAGGTACGCCCGACACATGCTGGGAAAGCCACACAGACACAGATAGTCAAGAATCCCTTAGGGAATGGGTGCTATACTTCAGGGACCTCCAGACTGAGGCAGTTTAAAGGTAACCTTTTCCATGCATATACTTGAAAAACACCAAACCCCAAAACCCACAGAAAAACAAACCCATCTGCTAAAAAGCATTCCAGCCTTGCCACCAAAACTCAGGGGCAACCTGTGCTGCAGAGAATTTGAAAATCCTTTATCCCTCTGTGCCTCTGATCTTCCTCTGTATAAAAGGAAAGAGGATTCATGCCAAGGCTGTAAATCACTTTGATGTCTTGGCCTAATTCCCTTTGGGTAATTACACTCTGCCTACTGAAAACTCTCTCTGCACTTTCCACTGGTACCTGCAGAGCATTCCTGTCAATCAGGCACGGAATTAGCCCACTGCTTTGGGAAAAGCACGGGGATCCAGGACAGCTGGGGGCAACCAGCATGAGACTCCAGCTACACCGAGCCACCTGCCACCTTGCTGGCTCCAAACTGTCCTACAGTGAATTTGGACTAGCAGTACTTGAGGTTTCGGAGACCTCCCACTCAAGTGCCAAGCAGGCCCAACCCCATTTAGCTCATGAGATGTAGTAAGATCACAGCCTGTGGGAATGTGGCTTCAGGATACACATTCCCATGCCAGCACTACACACAGGTCCCCCAAGAAGGATAAATCTTGCTGTGCTAACACTCACCCTGGAAATGCTGATTAATTAAAATTCAACAACATCCAGCAGGTTGAGCATAAAAAACATGATACAGTTGTATGTGTATATGTAAAACATACACACGAAACGTATATAAATATATGCAAAATAATAGTGGATCTGTCAAAGAAGCAACTTCAGAAAGAGCAAAGCCAGTCATTCATATTATAGGGCAAAATAAAAACTTCAAAGCCAAAATCTTTTTCTCTCTCACAATTCAGAGAGATTATTAATAAAGTTAATAATATGGGAATGGGAACTCAGAACTGCCAGTAGAGAATTTTTTACAAGACATTTTCCCTGTCTCAGACAGAAAATAATTGTGTAGGATTTAATTCTATGCACTTCGGGTTTTAATCAAGGATTTTTGGTCAACAGCAGAATCTGCATAAGCCTCACACACACTCACAGGGCTCATTTTCACCACACACAGGCCCTGAACATATGATTTCAGGGCATTGGGGTGCAACTGCCTGACAGGAGCTCCTTACCCACCATGTACCAGCTCCATCCCTGCAGTCCTGTGCAGACATGCTCACAGCAACACAGTATTTATTTCCCAAATCTTGTTTTGTCTCAGGAGAGAGAATAAAAAAAGGCTTTATATAACTCAGAGCAAGCTCACACACATTTGTCTAACCACACACAAGGATTATTTCCTGCTCCTGAGGTTTGACAGCCCCCGTGTACAAGTTTTCGGTCCTGGGACATTCTGAGGTGTCGCTGGCTTTCCCACTCCTTCCCCCCATATCAGCTTGAAAGTAAAAAGCAGTCAACCACTCCATGGTGCCTGTCATGGCATCCCATCCACCTTTCTATTTTCAGCTAGTTGCCTAGGAAAGTGGTGGCTGCTCCATCCCTGGAAGTGTTCCAGGCCAGGTTGGATGGGGCTTGGAGCAAGCTGGGCTAGTGGAAGGTGTCTCTGCCCATGGCAGGGGTGGGACTGGATGGGCTTTAAGGTCTCTTCCAACCCAAACCATTCTGGGATTCCATGATTCAGTTGCATCCCCTGTCTGTTTCACCTGCAATTACTCATCTCTTACACCTCATCATTGCCATCTAAGAGGGACACTCAGGTTTTCATCATCAGAGGCTTAGATAAACAACTACCAGTGATGGCACAGATCCCCTCACTGGAGCAGGGAGATGGACTAGATAGCCCCAAGGTATTTCCTTCTGCTCTCCTCTGACAAGCAGCTGGAGTTCAAACACACCTAAGAACATCCATTCGGCTGTTAACCTTTGCTCCTGCTCATGCAAGTGCTGAGGATAGCAAAGACAGTGGCTAGGGAAGGCAGAAGTGGCCAGTTCAAGGTACTCAGGGACAGGCCTCTACCCAGCATAGATCAGCCCAGAGCCACTGAGACAGCAGCGAGTGAGTTTGTGCTATACAGGAACAGAATTCCTTCAAAATCCCACTCCCTCAGAAAGGGAATCCACTGAGCCCAAAGCCCAGAACCAGCTTTGAAGCACCAGAGAGCTGTGTGAGGACAATGGGTGCTGGGTCAGTTGGGATGGAAGAGAAGCACTGGCTACATTCCCTATCCAGTACCAGGAACCAGAGATTTCCAGCAAGCTTAATGAGAAATGAGTCATCCATTGAGGACAGCTTTCCTGGGGGTGCTGTAGCTCTGAGCTGTCCCATCCTTTCCAAAACCCAACAGTCAGATTTCCTGTGAGAGCACTGTGGGTGCTGATGCAAACCCTCGTGTTGTAGAAGCCTGGCAGATATAGCTATAACCAACATGCTCTCCTGAGGTAGTTCTGGTTTGCACAGGCAGAAGAATCCATTATTAATGGAAATTATAGCAATTTCCCAAATGGCAAAGGCTCATTGATGCCAGTAGAACAGCACTGCAGTTATGCCTTTACCTCAGAGAAGGGCAAAGATTACCAAGTCCTCTCATCCTTCCCAGCCTACACTCCTGTGAGCACAGCTCTGCCAACAATCCCTTCTCCTGGAGATCTGGCTGCCATCCTGAGCTATGGTCCCAGTGTATCCCGTGAGGATCAGGTGGACTACACATTTCCCCTGTCCAAGACTATTTTGATTCCAGCATTAATCATAACAATAACAGATGGCTGCAAAATGTTTGCACTTACATTGGTTCAGCTGCACATGTAACCTCTGGAACTGTAACGGTCAACACAGCACTCAGAAATGGGGAATAACCCTTACCTTGATCTGCAGGGAAGGGCCTGGCTTGTTCGAGGCGCCGGATGAGGGGAACACACTGCGCAGCAGCCTCCTCTTCAGGCTGTTCTCCCGTGATTTGGAGTTGGGGCTGCCCTCCCCCGAGGGCCTGGCGTTGGCTTGTCGCTGAGGCCAGCACTCTTCCGGGCTCTTGGTTCCCACCTCGCTGTCCCCCGGCAGCACCGGCATGTGCTGCAGGCCAGAGCTGCGCTGGAGGCAGCTGCTGTCAGTGCCCTGGAACTCTGAAGGCCCCAGGGACTGGGCTTTAGTCACCATACCGTTGGGATGGGCCTGGCCCTCCAGCCGGGGTTTGTAGTCCGGCCACATGGTCTGCCTCCGCGTCACCTTGGTCCCACCATTGCAATTGAGGTAGTTTCCATATTTGTCTGCCCAGTCTGCTTCAGGACTCTGAAGATACATGTCTGGGGGCCTCTCGTCCCCCAGAAGCCCAAGGGACTGGGCTCTCCTCCTGCTGGTGGGGCTCCTGCCCCTCAGAGTGTTCGAGCTGATGGCAGAAAGCTTCTGGATGTCGTTGAGTAACCCGGAGATGTAGCCTTCCACTTCCACGGTGCTGCCACGCACCACGGTCTGCCAAACACAAGGATGGTGGGAAACAGGGCAGAGTTGTAAGTACTGAGGCTCTGTTATCTTGACAAAGATTAGATTTTGTTTGTCTAGCCAAAGGAGACTCAAGGAGCTCAGGCAAAAAGAGAAATTTCCCTGTCTTTTTTTCATTGTCCTTTACTGAGTGGAAAAGAGGAATCCTTGGGTTACATCCTGCTGCTGGAGCAGCAGTGCTGTCAGCCAGAACAGTCAATTCTGCTGCTGCACTCACATTCTAAAAGACAATATTAGAGCAAAACTGGGATATTTCAACACTCCTGGCTCTCCTGTGCTGAAACTGTGCTGCACTACATCACTAATGCAGACTCAACAAGCTCCTGAGAATATTAGTTCTCAGAAGAAGTTCCAGAACGCTGCAAGCTCGGCTCACGGAACTCACCTTGCTATTCCAACACAAGGTTCATGTCTCCCCTGAAGCACTCTCAGTACTGTTGCAATCAGCCTCCTCTAGTCTGCTTCTCCACAATTTTTGCTAATGCATCTCAGTTCTGACCAGTGCAGGCCACACTGTTCCAACACTGCATCCTCCTCTGCTCTGCCAAGCTATTACAATTAAAAATGATGAACAGAGGGTCACAGCAGCTCACAACTGCCTTGTAAGCAAACGCTGAAGAACAAGGCTTCCATCCAAACAAGCACCAGTTCTATACAAGTAGGACACTTGAAGCTGTCAGTATATTATGTAGTGTTCTACCTTGGGTTTTTTCTGGAACTGAAAAGCTTACAGAAGGCTTTTTTAGTGCTGGGAACCAAAAGGTTTCATTGCTCCACAGAAATTCACAGCATAGGATCACTCCTACACTTTCATGAATCTGTGCCTGAGGAAAGTCCTTCCCTGGAGTGATGGCAATCTCCTGTTTGCTAACTGAGCTCCAGGGATCTTCTAAACATGCTGAATTAATTACACCCAGCCTAATATTTAGCTGGTGCAACTCAGCAGCTCCAGTAATTTCAACAGAATGCCACCACCACGTGCAAACCAGCGCCCGGTTTGCTCAGCGTCTGAGAATGAAAGGCACAGCACAAGACTTTTGTCAAACATGGTGAAGAAAGGACAATCAGACTCATTCCATGGGGGACACACCAGCTGCAGCTGGAAAGTCTGGTCTTAACTCCTACTCCCTCACCACACACACCACTTCCTTCACAGCCCATCTGCTGTCAGGGCACAGTGTGTTGGGGATGAGAACCTTTTTGGTCCAAAATGGACCAAAGTCATTCCAGAAAGGCTTGTGTGTTCTCCAAGAAAGTCTCCAAGAATGTGCTATGGCCTCCCTAGAAAATCCATTCCAGTGCTCTCCTCACCAACTAGTCAAAACTCACTAGAATTAGGCTCAGGTCACTCCTGTTGCACTTATAGTCCATTAAGTCAGCCCTGCTCCCAGGCAGGGAAGATAGGAGTTAGCTGTGCTCTGCTGTGCTTGAAGTCTGCATCAGATTAATGAAGAAACATCCAAATTCGAGCTAGATCCATAGGGAGTGCTCTCAAAATTTAGACATTCTAATGTTAAAATCATAACAGTAACAGAAGGTTGCATGTTTGCAATTCCATGGGTACAGCTGTGTAAGTAACAGAACTGTAAAATCAATGTTGTCCCAACACAAAAACTTTATCTGCAAGGATGAACTTCACAAGCTTTACACACTACGTGTAAAAAAAGGAAAAACTCTGACAGCTGAATCCAGGACTATGTATAAGTGCTTGGCCAATTAGCACTTAAAAAAAAAGATCTTATTGATTGCTATCATTGAACAGGAATTAATTCTAATGGAGATTACCAGAAATACTCAACTATGTAATGCAACCTAAGAGAATATTTGCTCTTGGACTTACTGGGGGAAAAAAAACCCTACAGTGTTAGTTTAAGATTCTTCTCTAGTTTTTAAAGCCTATTGGGTATTCTGTCCTTGTTCTCTTAAGGATTTGCACCTCCTTTCAGCTTCTACCATCCTCAGGTTTAATAAGTCATACATGAAAGTACCAACCAGCATTAGGCTCAGGGCAAACTCCAGGAAATCTCTTCATGCACATTTCTGCTTTGACAATGATGCCTCACACTATTTTTTGAGTATCCTTTGCCTAATACTTGAGAACACTGAGAAGTTTGCTCTGGAAATGCCATCACTGCAGTGCCAGGAGCCTAACTGAAGTCAGGGTACAGGGGAGTGCTATCATTTCCCCATGACCCAAAGCCCCACACCCTGTGATTGATGGAAATTGGGTTGCTTGATGTGATTTGTTCTTGATAAATCCATACTGGCTGCCAGCTATTACCCTGCTATCTCCTTGGAAGTGGCTGCAAATAGATTACTTGCTTATTTGTTCCAGTCTCTTTCTGGGAATAGAAATTATTCTGACTGATCTGCAATTCCTTGAATTTCATTAGGCCCAGCTGACTTGAAAATATGTAACTTCTTAAATAAGTCTAATTTCTGCTCATGTTCTTTCCTTATTCCAGCCTCATTCTCATCGCTTCATGCCCGTGCTAATTGTGTCAGCCCACTGATCACAGTTCATAAAGGCTGCAGAAAAATCATTAAATACTTCAGAATTCTCAGTGTCATCTGTTATTAACATTCTTCCAAAATCAGCAGTGAACAAATCCTTTCCTTCATCCTTCTTGGTGCACTTACGATGTCACCTCAGTGCCCTTTATGTTCTTGGAGAATAACATCTCTTTTTGTGCCTTGGCCTTCCAGTTTTGTTCCTCCATAAATTTCTTTTCTCTTTGCCCTTTATAACTTGACCTAGTTTCCACTCTTCTGAGCAATCCTCCTGCAGTTTAAGCTCATTAGAGAGCTCCTGATCTAACCAAGTTGGTCTCTTATTACACATTTTATCTCTTCTCTGGATTGTGCTCCTATCCTCTACTACATTTTGAACCTCAAAGCACATTCAGGACACCATAAAGCAATACCTCCTGCCTATTTCTTTCACCTGTTCTACCCGAGCAAGTGTTTCCTTTCTAAACCAGCATTCTGCTCCAAGATCCTGATGTGCCATTTAAACTGCAGGTTTGATTTTGTAGTAATGCTTGCATTATACAAAATACAGTCCCATTGAGTCCTCATACTAAGCGTCTGCACGCAAAAAGCTAAATATATTCCTCAGACAGACAACCCTTTTTTACATCCCTCCTAAAATACAAGCAGTAACATCCCTATTTTATAACTTACCTTTCAGTTTTTAGGCCTTTGTATGTTTTTTTTGTAACTGAGAACAAAAACTTCCCACAAGCTACCAAGACCTTAAACACAGTAATTTTATCACCATCTCTCATTTCCTTTTCTAAGAGGTCAGTACAAAGCTGCCTCTCCCCACAGCAGCTCCCTGCTGTCACTTCCAGTCTCCAGATGTCACTGGCAGCAGTCACCTAAACCCACCCATCTACAAGAATCAGCTGTTTCTCCTTCCTGAAGGACTTGCTCTAAGGACATGGTCCAAACTCCTATGCCTCCCTGCCTGATAAAATGCTGGTTTGTAAACCCTCTTAGCCCAAACCCTCAGCTGTCCATGCACAGCAAGACAGTGCTACCCTGATCTCTTCCATTCAGGCTTCCCTGGCAATTGAATTACCAGCCAAATTTTCTCACCCATGAGAACAACAAACCTGCTAAAATGGATTTCTCCATGAATTCTTCTCTTCGGTTCCCTGTACACCAGCTGAACACATCCTAGGTCCTGTCAGCTGCCACAGGAGCTTTCACAGGTCCTGGTCACAGTGACAGGCAGCCAGCTGGTTATTTCAGCAGTGACACTACTGCAGTTCAGGGTACTACCGTCCTTATTGGTGATGGAGTTACTATCACCTGGTGCCATCAAAGCCCAGACCCTGCTCTCCACTGAATTTCATACACTTCCCACCTTTAGTCCCGTTCATGGGGCAATGGAAATGTTGCCTCCACTTGTGCCTCACCAAGGCACAGGACAGAGCAGTCTCCTCTCTTACCTTCATAGGTTGGAGCTGCATCCTCGTGATCCTTGAGGGGTCTACCACCGGCTTGGGGCGTCTCAGCGTGTCCAGAATATTCTGCCATTGTGGGGGCAGACCCACAAACTTGCCCTCCTTTGGGTCAAACGACGTGTGGACACGGTGCTCGAAGTTCTGTGGAGCAGAGATCTCTGGGCGTTTCTTCTTCTTCTTGCGGAACATGGTGCCTGGAGTGGAGAAAGCAATACTGTCAGTGCACGTCCAGGTCTGAAGTGACCCATCAGTAAAAGCACACATCAATTCATTAGTTAATTGCATTGTATTAACAACATTCTCCAGTAAAAAGCACTTTACCAAAAGTTGATCATCTGCTTTTACAGATAAGGGAAGAGGTACCAAGAGGGCAATGGCTGGCCCAGGACCACCTGGCAGGTCCATGGCTGAGCTGGGATTGCTAGTGACTTCCCTTACTTCTACAAATTCATATTGCCAGAGATAAAAATTTTACAGCTGTATCAGAGATACATATTTATATTTTACAAACTTGCTCCTAACTTAAATGGCTTTGGAGTCCAGCCAGTCAGGCAGCGTGGATTCCACTACAAGCCTGGAAAGAGAGGTGGCTACGAACAGGGCTCAGGTTGTGTTCTCACTGTTTACTCCAAGCAAGACACACTTGATTCCCATTTAAAGACAACAGAGCTGTTGGCAAAGGAAATGCTGCCCAAGACTGACTTTGGATCTCAGCTTTTCTCGCTCAGACACAGGGCCCGGGAGAGAGAGGAGGTGGTAGGTGGAAATCAAACTGTCAGCAGGTAGCTGAAGAAGTTAAAATTAAAAACTAAGACTCCATTCCCTCAGGGGCTGAGAGAGACAGCTTGTGTGAACAGCCACTGCAAGTGCAACAAGCCAGAAGCAGCTAACACTGAAATATACCCAAACATGGGAATTTAGAGCCAAATATATATACACACATGGAAAACCAAGATATTAGACCTCTTTGAAATCGAGAAGATACAAAGGAAAAGAAGAATATGAGCTCTGCACAGAGTCATGGAGGTGGGAAAGTTGGAGGACTGCAATGCATGGATACAACCTCTTTACAAAAGACAGACAGGGAAGATGGGGTAAAGGGGAAGGTACTCTTTCCATGAAGAAACAGCTCAAAGGCAGGAGATTTTCTATGGAGAGTCAGGCTTTCCACAGAGGGGAGTGGTGGAGTCAGAGATGATCAGCATGAATTAAAACAGGAATGGTCCCAAGTGGATAGAAGGAAGACCAGGAGAGTCCAGCACTGGCCCAGCTGCCCAGACAGCCTGGACAAGCTCTGTCCTTGGAGGTTTGCTCGCAAACACAAAGCCCTAAGCAACCTGGCCTGACCCTCAGAGCAGACTGTGCTTTGAGCAGGGGTTGAGCTACACCTCTCTAGAGGTCTCTTCTCCTCTGAAATGTTCTATGATTCTATTGACTAGTCTGATGGCTTTAAAGCTCCAAGTATTCCAAGTTATATTTCCCTATCTGCTATTGGAGAAACATGTTTAATGGTCAGATTCCCGTCCTGTGGATTTAATGGAACTGGTATGTTCCAGAGCTCATTGTATCCTCTCCAAGATGCTTTCTGTCAATGCAAAGGATGAACTGAGCAATGAGAGTCCCAAGAGAGAAAAGACAGAGGTCCAGTGCCAAAACATTTTGGGTAGTTCAGTGGCAAAGCTCTCTAGCTTGGGGAAAAAAACTGCACAGATTTCTTCAAAGCAATTAATGTTCACCAGTAAAAAGAAATAAAAATGTTTATATGCCGTTCCCTTTCCACTGACAATGTTAATACTGACATGTGCCTCTCACCAATATTGCTACAGTGACAAATGCTGCCTCTTCCTTCACATCAGACAGAGGATTTTTGCCACTTCATCTTCAGCTTTGTAACAGTCACTCCCACCCCGTACAGGACCTCAGCTTCCAACTATGTGTGCTGAATAAATATTTACAAGGGTCAGAGACACAGACCACATACAGAGACAACCTGCTGTGGCGTGGACATAGACACACTTCTAGAGGACACCTGTCTCCAAAATCAGCACATCACAGGGAAATCTGTGTCAAACATTCCCCAGGATGTTCCGCTTCAAACTGGTTTAGAGAGCAAAGTGCAGCCACTAGCTTGCTAGGGCTAGGAAGGTCCTGAAAACCCAAGACGCATTGGCTCCCAGTTTGGATACCATGATCCTGCAGTCACGAGGGTGGGAACTGTTTGTATGGCACAGAAGGACCTTTACTCCACCTAATCCCTCAGTCACACAACCCATCCTTGTTGAAACATAGGCATCACCCACTGACACTGCATTGCAACACTGAGTCCAGAAGCCTATTAAAGATACCTCATAGTTGAAAAAGAAAACAAAAGGTTAGGAAACTAAAAAGGCCACTTACAAAAGAGGCTGGAAGAAACTGCTCTGCTAAGGAGAGGGTTTGAAGTCAGAATAATCTTTGCTTAGAACAGCCTCCAATGAAAACCCAAATACGTCTTAATGGAGAGCTTATGGGAAGGGTGTCTGTACTTCAGGTCTGTGTTGCAGCTCCTCAAACACAGTGATTCATCTCTCGGGCCCTCAATGTGCTGCTTATTAGCTAATACTCAAGACTAAAGTCAGAGGGCAATTCTTTAAGGAAAAAAGCAGCACAGATAGTCCTGGAAGGGAAAGATACTCTAATAGCTCATGGTGTTAGTACTGTTCAAACCAACAGCTGGAGCTGCTGAGGAGCTCCAAGGGAAGCAGGGAGTATCTCTAATATTATAGCAAGTGGTTCAGTTCTGAATGTCAGTCATGACAGTGTATTTCCAGCCACAGCAATCTCACTATTTCAACCAGTATCTCTCCTTCTGCTCCTGCTCTCACAGCTCCATAATGAGAAGACACCCAGGGCATGGCACACAGACTCAAGTTTGCTCTTTAACTGCTACAAGGTGGCAAAGGGACCTGTAAAATGAGGTGTTACAAATGCCACAACCATGAGCACTTGAGCATCAATGGTTTTCTGAACATCTCGGCCATTTCCCCACAAGGAGAATTATTTCAGCTAGACTCCTTCAAAATGCAAATCTTTAAAGCCCAGGTGGTATTTTGGCCCCAGCCAGAGCAGTGGCTCTATGCCAACACCTCAGCTTGCAGAAACATAAACACTGCATTTGCATATCTGTGTTAAATTCCTATACCTGTCAATCAACACCTGGACTACACGTGGATCCAGCATCCAAAAGCTTCCAAAACCCAGAGGGAAGCACCTGCTAAGTTCATGGTCAGTTTCAGGTGACTGACTGACATGGGCTGTATCTTCCTCATTGGCTTCTAATAGACATCTTAAAAGCAACAACATGTAATCACCTCCAAACACAACACACCCCTGGGTATCCAATGGCATTTGCTTTATATGGACAGCATCAATCTCTGATCACAAAGGGATCAGACAGGTGGTTTAAAGGTACACTGCATTAAGATCAAATGAAATCTCTGCACTAAAAATAGTTCTTTGAAACCCAATGGATTGTAATAATCTGGGTAGGTTTTGCATTTCATTGAGGAGTCTGTATTTAACCAGTCTCCTTCCACTTTGTGGTTTGCATGCAAGAGCTATTTGCTTGTATTTCCAATACCCAGCTAAAGAATGTTTAAATAAAATACATAAAAACAGGCCTTTTCTAAGTCAGTAAGAAATTCATAAGAACATTTTATGCACAGAAGATTTTGCAAATCAAGCCAAACCTGTATTTAAACGTAGACAGCATCCCTTTAATATAATAACACAAATACTGTGACACTGATTTTATAATCATCTACTAGACTTTAGTCTTTCATTCAGTGCTGACAACTGTACTGTAAGAAATGTCACAAACATAAATAATAAAAGTCACTACCAC